CGCGGGAAGAGGCGGAGGGCTGGGTGGCAGCGGATGGCTGGCTCGTGCCGTTCCAGGTGCAGGGTCTGCTGGCTGGGTGCTGTCAGGCTTGCCCCTGGCACGGGCACCGTAGCCAGACCGTGCCCCTTTAAGGGCTCCAGGGCCAGGAGAGGGGCAGAAGAGTTTCCCTAGTGGTGCCCAGAGTGGCCACCAGGGAAAGCTGGGGATGACTAGCCTCCCACTAGTTTGAATTAAGTGGCCACACAGCCCTTAATTCGAACTACTTAATTCAAACTAGGCATTAGTCCTCGTAGAATGAGGTTTACCTAGTTAAAATTAAGCGCTCCGCTAGTTCGAATTAAGTTCGAACTAGTGGTTTGTATGTGTAGCGCCTATTAAAGTTAATTCGAACTAACGTCTGTTAGTTTGAATTAACTTTATAGTGTAGACAAACCCAAAGTTCCATCATTCCCATGCTTTGAAGGAGGTATGTGAAATTTGGCAGGGGACAGCCTTTCTATCAGGGATGTGCCTTTTGCTGTCCCTATAGAAATTTACCAAAATCTTGAAGATTTATAAGATTCCCCCTGCACTGAATATGCTCCAAATATAGCTCTGGGTTGCTGTGGGCCATGCCAGATCTAGGTCTGGAATCCTGAATTTAAGACAGACCGTCTCTCCTGTGCTCTTGTTGACCACCCACTGAGGCATGGCTGGAGGAGGAAGCAGACAGGATGGAAAACAAAGTCGCCTGATTCCAATATAGACTGGGGAGGAATCAGATCCAAATGTGTGAGAGAAATTGGAGGAAGAACCCTGGAAGAAGGAACAAGACCAGGTTAACACGGCTACATCTCTATTACTATTCTACATGCCTGGAAGAAGGAACGATGGAAACTGGGATTGAAGGGGGAAAGTAGGGAGAAACTAGGACCTGAGGATTGAGAAATGGAGAGGGACTGAGAGCCAGCAGGCATGTACTTGGGGTGGGGGAGAGAGAGATCAGATAAGGAGCTGAAGACAGACTGGGATGAAAGACTGAACAGAAAAGAGCGGGAATGGTTAGATAAGTATGGGACTGAGACGAAGGACTGGAATAGGCTGAAAGGAACAAGGCAGAGGCTGTCAGGCTTTGGGGAAACAAGCCGAAGACTCCAGGCCACAAGAGCACACTTGACTCCGAAACCTAGAATGGAACCCAAGATGGCTAAGGTTCACCATTCCCCTGTTATCAGCCAATACCTGTGAAACCCATAAACTAAGTGTCCCATATCCTGCTAGTAGACCATGGAGGAAGAGAAAACTATTGTTGTCAGTGGATACTTTGAAATTTGGTTTTATTCTGATTAGGAACAACCCTCCCTCACCCCAAATTAAAACTGCTTGCAAAAGGGAATGGAGTCTTCTCTCCAAGACAATCCATCTGGAATACTGTGCTGGCCAAGAAAGGTGTGGTAAGCAATGCCATTTCCACAGACTAACCAATATTCATGAAAAGATGTTTTATCACAGTTTGTCTGACCAGCTCCTACAATAAGCCTCAACTTGGGCACCTACTAGTGGAAACTTTTTTTTTTTTTTTTTTAAGGTAAAAAGTATGCCTCATTTCTTCATCTGTAAAATGCAGATAAAAATCTCTCTCTGTGCTCAAGATTTTTGTGAAAATAAATTAATATTTGTGAAGCATGCCAAAACTTCAGCATGAGTGTCACGGGAAGGTCCATGATTAAATTAATAATTCTGTGGAAGATTAACCACCTGAAGCAGGGAATAGCCTCTCAGAATCATCTCCACTGTCAGTTATTGCCATTTGAGGTGCTCTAATATTTGCTGGATTTGTATTTTGGATTATTAATATTATTGTGTCAGGGATTGTTGTTTGTCCCAAGAAAAGAGGCCTTGCTTTGGAAAGAATATTGTTTTGTGTCAGTCATTTACTGGAAGGCTGTATACTTATCCTCCGGGTATTTCTTTGGACACCCTAGAGACTCAAACCTTAGGAGTCAAAATTGTTTAATAAATGGGCTGTTTGGTAAGAACCCTTAAGCCACCAAAGAGGGGGTACAGGCCCATTGACAAGAGAGAGAAGGGGCAAAGGGGACAACTGCTCCAGGACCCGGCAATTCAATGGGCCCAGGCCTTCCAGCCACTGCCATTCCTACTTCAGCACTGGCTGGAGGCCTGAGCCCTTTAAATCACTCCAGAGGGTGCTGAGGGGAAGACATGCTCCAGGCATTGCTGAGGGCCAGCTGCTCTAGTCCCGCCCATTCCATTTGAAGTCCTGACCCTTCTGGGAGTAGAGAGCTAGCCTCCTCCACTTGCCAGAGGCCCACTGAGTCTGTGGGCTCACCTAAAGGGGCAATAGATGAGCTAATCTAGAAGTACCCTAAATCTGTTTTTGGAGTAACGGCGTAGGACAACACGCTGAACTCACAGAAAACACAATATTGAATTACTGCTCATTAAGTGAGCACTGTCCTTCCTGTGCACTGTTTCCTGTGGGGAAAAAAACAGAAAGTAATCAAAGATGGTCTCATAATGCATATGCACAAAGGAACTGAATTATCTGGGATTAGTCCTGCTTCTAGAAGGGGGGTTGGAGTTGATGACCTCCTCAGGCCTCTTTGAATCCTCTGATTCTATGAATTCAGGCTGCCCAGATAACATTAATTCTGGCATTTTCTCTCTTTTCGAGTCTTGGCCTTGCAGCTTTAGTAATGTTCTTTTAACACTGCTTTCTGTGAAATGTTATAGATATGATTTTATTTGGATATAGTTTGAAACATTTTATAGAACAGTTACTTTGTTTTTACTCTCACAAAAATCTTTAATCTTTTCAACAGCCAGTTAAGGAAAATACAGATTTAAAAAGCACTGAATGTGAAATGTTTTCTTCAAAAAGGTCCTTTACCAACCACTGTAGAGGCAAATCAGATGTAAACAAATAGCAAATCATTACCATGACAAAGTATCAATTTTATCTCCTTTTCCAGTAATTTTGTCATGAAGCGCCATCATATATCATAATTATGGACAAAACATTTCATTTGTGCAAAGGATAAATTCACAAATTACAATAGGTCTTTAGAATTTAATGTCATACTTTTAAGATCATGGACCACTGCTACCTCTTTACCCTAGACTGGTTCAAGTCCCCCATTTACAATCATGCCAATGCAAGCCTACATTATACACCCATAAAAACTTTGTTGAGGATTACTTACTTTCTCTTGCACAAATTTGTATTTAAACCTTCATATTGCTTCTCCCTCCCCGCCATGTGTACTTTCTATAAACACCTGCCAAGATTTCAGGAATGGGCACTTGAAGGATAAGTTCCTAAATACATCTTTAGGCAGTAAGTATACTGATTTTCAAAATTTGTGAGGTTCTAGTGAATCCCATGAGAGCATCTATGCAAACTGCTGCACACTCAACATATATGAAATTCAGCTAACGATAGAGTTAGTATCTAACAAGCCACATCTCTTTTTGAAAATCTTAACTACTGTTGTTTACATGATCAAATGTATAAATACATGCTTATATATGCTTTCCATGAAGACAACTATATTT